CGTCATACTTAAAAAAAAAAAAAAAAAAAAAAACGTTTGGACGGGCGTCCATAGGAATGGATGCCGTCCATACTTTAAAAAAAAAAAAAAATGTCTTCTTCCTCTTCATTCCCAGCTCGTTCTCCTGTTAGTTCTTCGTCTGAACATTTTGTTGTACAAGAAATTTGTTGTAAAACTAAGGTGAAAAGAACACATCCCACTGTGGCACGGGGGTTTCATTTCTTGTCTTTTGAAATCGTATCAACATTTCTGCAAATTTAGGACTTGCTCCTATTATGTGGGATTTCAGATCCTTGAAGGAAGATCAATAAGCTACAGTATCTTTGGATGGCGTAGTTATATGCTCTCCAGCTGATATAACAAAAGTGTTGATATGTTACTGCTTGATGTAGAGAGCGGGAGTACTTTGCAAACAGCCCAGAATACAGGCATCTTAGTAACAGGATGGGTTCTGAGTATCTTGGAAAGGTGCTTTCTAAGGTATGAAATTTTGATGCAATTATGTGGGTACATGAGAACATAGGCGCTGGGGAATGAAGAGGAAGAAGACGAATTCTAAGGTATGAAATTTGATGCAATTTATGTGGGTACATGAGAACATAGGCGCTGGGGAATGAGGAAGAGACGAAAATTATAATATTTTTTTTAAAGTATGGACGGGGTCCATTCCTAATGGACGCCCGTCCAAATGTTTTTTTTTTTTTTTTTAAGTATGGACGGGCGTCCATTCCTCATGGACGCCCGTCCAAACATAAGGGACGGCCGTCCAGAAATTTTGGACGGCCGTCCCCAAAGTTTTTTTTTTTATTTTCATATTTTATTTATGGACGGGCGTCCTTTAAATGGGGACGCCCGTCCCTTGTATATGGACGCCCGTCCATATAATATGGACGGGCGTCCATGTGAGTGAACGACCGTTCAAATTTAATGGACGGCCGTTCACTAGAAAAAAATTGTTAAACAAAACATATGTGTGTTACACGTAGGCCGGTACACATTTTCGGTGTCCCTAGTATTATTGTTTATGTATATATAAATGTGAACCAAACGCACCCTTAAAAGAATTAGGGTATGACCGGTTACCGTTTTGCATGTTCTTTTTTCATTTTTTCATAGAAATTTGCATTCGATCAACGTTTTGAAAGAATTGGATTAGAGAAAAGAGAGGAGGCGTAGAGAGATGCATATCTCTTTAATATAAAAAATTTAAAGTTAAATAAACAATTCATTTATTCTCATTCTTTTTTATATTTTTTTCTTCTCTTTTTTAAAACAAAAACTTCAAATCAAAATTTTGAACAAAACATTGGAACCATTGACATATTTGAGACAAACATTTCCAAACAAACAAAAAAGTGATAATTCAAAGAGGTTTCTTCAAGTGTGTAGGTGATAAATTTTGTCTTTTCCATCTTTTATGTCAAACAAATTTTCATTTTTCTCGTTTTCAAATAACATTTTCAGCATGGTTATCAAATCGGGTATTGTATCGTGTATCGAAAACCTAATTTTTTGAATCGTGTATCGCGTATCGTATCGTATCGTAGATATGCCTTTTTCAAAAAAATTAATAAAATAATCAAAATTTTTTAAAAATTAATATCATCCCCATGATTAATTAAAGAATTTTGTGATATTATTGGCTTTAAATTATGGTATTACATAATCAAAATTAATCAACAAATTAAGAATCTATATTATTTTCTCTTAACCATTCATATCATTTTCAAGATCAATGTCAATAATTATATCTCTACTTATATTATTATTATCATGTAAAATGGGCAATATATATTCCTCTTCACTTTCTCCATGCAAAATAGGTAAATTTGGACAGGTTTTAGTGAATCGGGTTGGGTGACCCGAAATTTTTTTTGGACCTTTGGCCCAAATTAATAAAGTCATATCAATTTATATCGATATTTTTAAGGATATGAACGGATACATATTGTATCGTAGGATACATATCAACGTATCGAAAAATTTATGATACATTCTCTGATACGTATCGTTGGCGACCTGTATCGAATCTTATCGTATGATACGTATCGGGTATCGTAGGATACTAACAACCATGATTTTCAAACAAACATGTCCAATGCATTTTTATTTTTCACATTTTTTTTAACATTTTCAATATTAAAAAAAAAAAAGTAGCATAATATTCATAAAAAATCACACCCAAATATTCTGATTAATCTAAGAACTATTCTCATGAATTTTATGGGAAAACCCAGATGGGTATACAAGTTTACAAGAAGCTAACAGTGATAAAGTGTAAGCTTAGAATTCAGCCAATTGGGTTTCATCAAAATAGCATCCTGTAGCCCCCTCTTGCACACTCATTGTTCCGGTATGCATATTTAGATCTGTCTTGACGAAGCCGGGGATGAACGCAATTTATGCACATACTTGGGTGCTTCTTTGCCAGAATTCTGGTGTAGGCATTGAGGATGGCCTTGGAAATGCTGTATGCAGGTACCATTTCTGGCCACCCGTTGGCTTCAATCGTATTTTCTTTCAAATCTTGCAAAGATTTTCATATCAAATCATCCAGTTTATCTTCGTGCAATGTTTCTGCATCCCCGAGTTCATCTCTTACGCTTTTGCTTGGAATTCTCTGTACAGAATGGTGCTTTTATTAAACAATAATTTCTAAGGGTTACTTATGATATTATATTCAAAGATTTCACTTTAGAACTAAATGAACATGTGAGAATANATTTATGATACATTCTCTGATACGTATCGTTGGCGACCTGTATCGAATCTTATCGTATGATACGTATCGGGTATCGTAGGATACTAACAACCATGATTTTCAAACAAACATGTCCAATGCATTTTTATTTTTCACATTTTTTTTAACATTTTCAATATTAAAAAAAAAAAAGTAGCATAATATTCATAAAAAATCACACCCAAATATTCTGATTAATCTAAGAACTATTCTCATGAATTTTATGGGAAAACCCAGATGGGTATACAAGTTTACAAGAAGCTAACAGTGATAAAGTGTAAGCTTAGAATTCAGCCAATTGGGTTTCATCAAAATAGCATCCTGTAGCCCCCTCTTGCACACTCATTGTTCCGGTATGCATATTTAGATCTGTCTTGACGAAGCCGGGGATGAACGCAATTTATGCACATACTTGGGTGCTTCTTTGCCAGAATTCTGGTGTAGGCATTGAGGATGGCCTTAGAAATGCTGTATGCAGGTACCATTTCTGGCCACCCGTTGGCTTCAATAGTATTTTCTTTCAAATCTTGCAAAAAATTTCTTATCAAAGCATCCAGTTTATCTTCGTGCAATGTTTCTACATCCCCCAGTTCATCTCTTACGCTCTTGCTTGGAATTCTCTGTACAGAATGGTGCTTTTATTAAACAATTATTTCCAAGGGTTACTTATGATATTATATTCAAAGATTTCACTTTAGAACTAAATGAACATGTGAGAATATCCGAGGAATATAGGGTAGTAAATGTTGAAACTATCATCAAATCACACAAAATATTGAAGCGAGACCCCCCGAGTGCGTTAGTGTTCGCCGATAATCCGTTAGCCTCATGCAAAGTGTATGAACCACATCCAACAGTAAACAATAAAAAAATAAAAACAGTGCAATGCTTGAGTGATCACGAGGATGATGGTTATTGAGAGAATAGGCCGTGCTTACTCTTAGCTCTCCTCTAATGGAGGAGATGTTAACTATCCTTGCTCCTGAAGTGGAAAGCTTCAAGAGTGGGAGGAGAGCTTCTGTAACTCTTTTTAACTCCATAATAATTGGTATTCAAGCATTCATCTGACTTCTCATAGGTCTGTTCAATAAGACCTTGAACCATTTTGGCTGCTTGGTCTGAGAGGTGTATAAAATTGTAGTTAGAAGCTCCTGTTTCTGGTGTGATTGTTGGTGATTGATAAAGCTTGCAAATTTTTAAAAACTTAAACTTACCCAAGAAGTGGGATCTATATTTAAGGCCCTTAGACCTTCTTCATTGATTTTAACTGAAGAAACTCCAGCATTATTAACCTGCATAAAACATATAATCAGTTTTCAGGTACAAACCAAGAATGTAGTAACTTGGTATGATTTTCACTTTTGTATTAATAAATTATGATCAGGATTGCATAAGATTATGAAATTTCTTCTTTTGGTTAAAGATGCATAATTGCAGGCGCTGCACTAGACAGTGGACTTTTTTCTCTTGGAATGATAATTCACAGCGGCAAAATTCCCTTACCAAGATGTCAAGCCGTCCAAAGTTGTCTTGGATGAATTTGGTCAAGGAGTCGATCATGACAGGATCCAGAACATCAAGGTGATGAAAAATTACGTTCGTTAAACCCATCTCATGGAGCGTTGATGTTGCATCCTTTCCTTTATTTTCATCTCTTGCTGTTAACACAACCACTACATGTTGACTTTGAGATGCAAGCTGCCGCACAATTTCGAAGCCAATGCCTTTGTTTGCACCCGAAACAACACTCCACAAATTGAACACTAACCATAAAACAAAATGGTTTAACTGTGTAACAACGAAGACCTGCAAAATGCTTACCTCTCAGCTCCATGGTTTTCGTTGATTTCCATTGCCATACTGCCCCTATGATTCTATGATGGATTGCTTACTTCCCTGGCTTGTGGTGTAGCTTTTCAGCCGAACCTTTTTCACCTCATGAAGAGATATAGCACAAATCTAAGTGGTAAGATACATGGTGATAATCTACAATTTTGTTCCAAACATCTTGAGAATATCAAGCATATAGAAGATGCTCGGATTCATACCAAGATGCTCATCAAAGCCAAATCTGTTTCCAGCTTTATAGATAGTGATTTTATGCGGCTAATTGTAAGAGACTGCACATTCTGATTGGCTCCCCACAATTATATATGTGATTCATATATGTGCGTGGATAATTACAAAAAAACAATATATGTTTTATATTTACATATCAACCCACATATATACTTTCAAGCAACTGATAGTGGATAAATGCTGAGACGTTCCCCATTGCACTCTTCTATGAATTTGTCTTCAATGAAACAAAGGTCCAACATCATCCAATAAATTAAAAGAGTTTTTGGGACCAGGAACGTGATACATCATCCGTAGACAGTAATTCAAACTTGTAAAAATCAGTCATGTAGATATTTATTTAAAACATCATTATCACGTTGACGTTTATGATAGATGAAACAGGTTAGAAATCAGCTACTTGGGTTTGATCAAAATAGCAGCCTGTACAGCCTCCTCTGGGCAATAGAGCACACATCACTGGACCTCTAGCTCCCTCTTCCACAGTCATCGACCCTGTATGCCAATTCAGGTCTGTATCAACATAGCCAGGGTGAACACAATTTATACACATTTCGGGGTACTTCCTTGCAAGAACTCTTGTGTATGCGTTGACAATGGCCTTGGAGATGCTATAAGCAGGAAGCATTGTGGACCATCCATTGGCTTCAAGTGCATTTTCCTTGAAGTCATGCAAAAATCTTTTCACTACAGCATCCAATTTCTCTTCACTCAGGGTTTCTGCACTCCCAAGTTCATTTCTTGTGGACTCACTAGGAATCCTCTGCATACAATAATGTATCCGTTGACAAGTATACCTAACTATATAATATGTGATTATGGTAAATTTTCCTTTAAGTTTTGTCATATATCCCCTGCTTATTTTGGCAAACAACAATGCATAAAACTAGAGTAAGCTCAACTCTGATGGGTTCAAGACAAATATGTATCAATTAGGTTGACCACATGTTCAATAAAGAGTAGTGTAGCCTCACCCAACATTAAATGCAGGAGATGGTGCATTTACAGCAGATGATGGAAGTTCAGATCATTATTTTCAGGGGGTCCCTAAATTTTTGGCTGGATGCAGCGTAGTTTGTTCAATTCATAATATGCATCAAGCAAACTCCATATATAAACTATAGTATACAAACACAATTATTATTATGAGAAACTCCACATTCATACATTACTTTTGTGGCAAGAGAACACATGTGAAAAGCCAAGGCGCAATAAACTCCATATATAGACCATAGTACACAAATACCATTAAAAGTATGAGAAACTCCTCCTGTGCCCATTAAATTGTAATCTAAAGACGAAATGTGAAACGCCTAGGTGCAACCATGCAAGTGGGGAGGTTTTTTTTATTTTCACCTAGAAAGTATTGAGTATCAAGTAGACTATAAGTTCTTTTATGCTTACAAAGTTGGAACCCAAGTTTGAATCTCAATTCAGATATGTGACAACAACGTTTTAATAGTAAGATATGTGATAAGCTATGTTACTTTTCTATAATTAATGTGTTGTTGTTACAGTATTAACCATGTCAGTTGAGAATGTCGCTGAGAATATTACTGATAAGAGTATATTATATATATGCAATGCAGTTGATAAAAAGCTAGATGATAATAGCAACAAGTATGAAGCACTAAAACTTGAGCAGAGAAGGGATAAAGGGTGTGCTTACTCTTAACTCACTCCTGAGGGAGGAGACGTTAACTATTTTTGCTCCTGAAGTGGATTGCTGTAAGAGTGGAAGGAGTGCTTCTGTTACTCTTCTGAGACCATAGTAATTAGTATTCAGGCATTCTTCAGCCTTTTCATATGTGTGTTTAATCACATCTTGAATTATGTTGGTCACCTTGCCTGAGAGCTGCATGCTTCAACAATTTGTTACCAGTGACTGTTTATGGCAAGTGTCTATTCATAATCATAAAGAATGTATGACTTAAGTTGAACTGACCCAAGATGCTGGATCTATATTTAAGGCCCTTAAGCCATCTTCATCCACTATAACTCCACTAGCAGCAGCATTATTAACCTGCACAAATTAGATAATTAATTCACTCATTATATGGGACTGGGTAAGGTGTATACTATATGCATATCCAAAAGATATTAACATATGGAACTGAAGGAAGCCATGGCATTGGTTTAAATTCAGACTAATACATGAAGTGAACAAAGATTGTGCAGTTTTTCTTGGCTAAATATACATGCTCAAAAGACAATGTGACAGCACACATAAATTAATTCTTATTTCAGAAGATCAAAGTAAACATTTTACTCATGGGGCTAAAAAGTTTATGGTATTTGTGCACTGATTTCTTGTTCTTGTGTAATATTCTGCATAGATCCAGGGAAGTAGGAGGGAAACGAAAGAACAATTATAATGCTTATTAACGAAAACATTAATGCATAGCAAAGGAAATATAGATGAGCTCTACTACACTTTTCTTCAAGGACACTTTATAAATAAATCCTGTTAATGAATGTCTGCAAGGATGGGCCTACATTAAGAGCACTAAATGGTAGACCTTATATTGAAGAAGGGCATTTAATGGCCTCAAGAAAGGACAGAAATTTCATCCTAAGAGGAATGTGGGCGCCAGAAAATTGATTTTTGGACACAATTTCTAGTGACGAAACAAAAATTCCTGACTAAAAATCGGCCAGTGCATGACACACTTGGTAATACTATTAACGAGTGGAGACTAACAGTCATCCCAATGCTTATTGCCCCTTGCTAGAGACATCTGACTAATTTAGCCTTTATGCCCCATTTAGCAAAAGAACAAATAAATTCACTATTCTTCCTGAGAATCGTGGTTTCTCTCTTCTTATTAAGTGGCCACCTAAAAAAGCAACTTTGGTGTATGCAATTTGGCCCAAAACCATGGATCTAGCAAGTAGTAAGAAAAAAAAAAACACTGAAACAAATTGCTGGTTCTCTCTACAGTAAATATTGGGGAAATATTGGATCATCCATAATGAATCAAATGCTCCTTATAACAGTAATCTATATATACTTGTTTTATTGCTCCCTTGATTTTCATCTGGGATTCACGCATATTTCTTTACTATATAATATATATCCTAGACTTCAAATTACTTCGTTAATTAGCGCTAAGATTTCAAATCTTTATGACAGATTCAGCAGTATATTGCATGAATTAAAGTTGTAAATAAAGAAAAAGCTTAATTTTCTTACCAAGATGTCAAGCCTTCCAAAATTTTCCCTTATAAAGTTGGCCAAAGAGACAACGCTGAGGGGGTCCAAAACATCAAGCTGGTGGAAAACGACAGAACTTAATCCCATTTGATGAAGCGAAGATACAGCTTTGAGTCCTCTACTTGAGTCTCTAGCGGTTAAAATGACTTTGACGCCATGACACGCAAGCTGCCGCACAGTTTCAAGCCCGATGCCTTTGTTTGCGCCGGTAACCACCGCATATCTCTGACTCTCTCTGTCAAAAAAAAAACAAGAAACAACCACCATTTTTAATTTACCCTTGTTAATTAACTCACTCAAATAACCTTAAACTAAATAGATTCTTACCCTTGCTTTCCATTGGCTTCTACTGCTGGATCCATTGGAGTGGTTTCAAGATGAGTTTCTAATAGATTTTTAATTTTTGCATTTGGCTTGCTGTGGCCTGCCTGCAAGAGGAATCAGTTAAACTCGCCACTCGGAAAGCTCAATGCAGAGTTTTTAGATGACAATCAATCAGAAGACTTAATTCATTAGACGGTATAAAAAGGCCACTAGCCATTAAATAGTGAAAAACAAACCTGTAACTCGGCCTGGTTCCACTGCACAAGAGTCAAGCACTACAGACTTCAACAACATGCTTTAAAATATTTAATTAAATATAATTAATAAAAAAATTCAAAATTTCTTATAAAATATAAATAATAAAAAGAGTAATCGACATGTTCCCGCCCAAGGTTTAGAGAAATGACAAATTCCCACCCCTGGTTTCATAATTTCAGGTTTCATAAACCTGTAACTCGGCCTGGTTCCACTGCACAAGCGTCAAGCACTACAGACTTCAACAACATGCTTTAAAATATTTAATTAAATATAATTAATAAAAAAATTCAAAATTTCTTATAAAATATAAATAATAAAAAGAGTAATTGAGATGTTCCCGCCCAAGGTTTAGGGAAATCACAAGTTCCCACCTGTTTTCATAAATCTCAGATCCCACCTTGAATTAACAAAACATCATTTAATGTAAGCGTTAAAAGGGTAAAATAGTCTTTTGCTCTACATTAAATCTTAAATTAAATTGAAATAAAAATAAAATTTCAAAATAGTCCTTCACATCTCGAAGGGTAAAGTGGCTGGATGGTGGCTTTGGGTGAGGAATTTTGTCAAACAGGTGGTGGTCAGGTTGGCTGTGAGAAGGTTGAAAATGATGGGAAGTCGCCACCGACCGGACATAACAAAGCAAAGTGAACCGAAGGCTATAAATAAAAGAGCACTTCATCTTCATTGGAGCACCAAATCAAAAGAAAAGAAATCATTCAATTTTTAATTCACCAATAAAAAATGGCTCCAGCAATGGCAGTGGCACTAGGAGTCGAGAAGAAGAATAACAACAACATTAAAGAAAGAGAAGAAGAAGATCTAAATAAAATATATAAGGCAATTTACGAACATGTAGATAAGAAATTTTGTTAATACAAGATAATAATTTGTTATATATATTAAAGAAAGAGAAGAAGAAGATCTAAAGAAGAGAAACGAAGAGCTCGAAAGAGAGTTGAAGAGAAGAACAAATGAGAGTTGAGCTTCAGAAAGTTCTGGAACGGCTGCGTTTGGTAGAGGAAGCTGAAGAAATGCTATGTTCATAGCTAGGTGAACTTGAAGTAGAGGCCGTCAATCAGGCGCGTGGTATCACTCTCAGATTGTCTCTCTTATGAGCAAGCTGTCCAAAGAACTTGTGCTATTACTGTGTAATTTTATTTATCCTTTTTTGTTACTAGTTCCTGAAAAAAAAAATAAGCTTCTCTAGAGCTTATGAACGTCAGTCCAATCATGAGCAGAAATTTTATTTCTGGTAATTTGAATGTTAAAGGGATTTGATCTGTGAGGCGTAATTGATTCGTGCTCACCGGACTTGAAGCCAAAGATGACTCCAGCCCCGTCATCGTGTTGTCGTACGTCATTAGTAGAAATTTGTTGGGATTGTTGGTGATGTGTTGTTGGGATTGTTGGTGATGAAGTTTGTTTGGATTGAAAGAAAATTTAGAGAGTTGGGTGGGTTTGGATTCAAAAGGGTGTTGGTGAATGAATTTGAGATGTATAGGATTTTTCTGAAATTTTATTAATTCGGTTAGATGGTGATAGTAGCTAGGTGGCGGTGGTGGATGGCGGTAGTGACAGTGGCTGAGTGGTTGGAGAATGTGAAGGTCGAAGAAAAGGGTGTTACTAAAATAAATTTGAAAGTAACGTATTGGTCAAGGGCAGTATGGTAATAGCCCGTTTGACCTGTATTTAAACCTAAAATTTGTTAACAATGTTAATTTAAAATTTATAAAAACAGGGATGAGAACTTGTTATTTGGCTAAACCTTGGTGGGATCATGTCGTTTACTTTAATAAAAATTATAAATCTGGATCTACAAGAATATAGTGATATTTTCGAAGACAATCGCCTTATGTGCCAAAATCTGCCAGAGTGGAATCACCATATTCAAATTTGTCGGTCTCAAAAGGATCAAATGTGATACCAATGCATCATTGGTGACCAACATTGACCATCAATGGCCACATCCAATATCTTCAAATTATTTTTGAATTATTAATTAATTGATAAATTATTTAATATATTTTTAAATATTTATTAAATTCTTATCAAAATACAAATATAGTATTATAAAAATATGCTTTGTTATTACACATATTCTAATTTACCAAACACATCAGAGAAATTATATTTAATGCTTTTATTTTGGAAGTGGAATTGAAAAGCAGCACATTTTACTTTTTTTTTTTTTCTCAGGAAACAACACTTTTTTCATTTTCCACTAATTTCATAGATGAAAATACTAAATACCCCTATATAAATATTAACCCTCACTTCTTCAACTCCATTGAAGCAAATCTTAAGAGTTCCCTCCTTCGTCTTATTTCGAAAAGAAAATGCTGATTTTGTGTTAGGTTTGGGCGGATTGATCATGTTTATTACTTTATTATCAATTTTGGCAAAGGAAACTATCTACATTCACTGGTTTCGAATTTAAGGTGTGTAATATGATTCTTCTCCTAATTTGTTCAATTAACTTATTGTGAAATATTGTTGTGTTGCTTATAGATAATTGAGAAGTGTGTTGATGATGGGTTTAAAGTATAAAGAGTCTTTAGGGTTTAGTTTGAGACTTTGAGTTTTTTATTGAGTTTTGTTTTACAATATGATTGAGTTTTTGGTTTAGAATGATAAATTGACTTGATTGTTGTATAATGTCGGGGTGGAAAAATCCGGTTAACCGGACCGGTTAACCTGTTGTTTGAACCGAACCGGTTTTCGGTTTTAAAAATAAATTGAACCGAAACCGGTCCGATTTCGATTATAAACCGGTTATAAACCGAACCGAAAATTCGGTTCGGTTAATCGGTTAACCGGTTTTTAAACCGGTTAATTAAAATTTATGATGGGCTGCCTTTTTCGGCCCAATTCGGTCACCATTATGGGCTGCATTTTTTGGCCCAATTCAGTCCCTTTTATTTTTTTTTTCCAGGTTTAACAACGTTGAAACTTGAAACACCAAGATCCAAAATCAAACAACTGAGTCATTTCTAACCAAATAACAATTGATTCTCAACTCCAAAATCATTATTCATTGATTGATGAAGTAACACAAAAAACTTGTAGTTCTAAATCATTCATTCTAAGTTCTAACTAACAAATACACAGCCATCAGTACATATACAAGAATTAAAACCAAAATCTTCAATGTCAAACCCCAGATCTGAAAACGTGACAACACAGATCTGAAAACCCACCGGCAACAGACGACGACGGCGACTGCAGCTGAGCGACGACGACGTGAGAACGCAGATCTGAAAAAAGAAGAGACAATGAGAGTCTGACAGAGAGTGAGAGGCAGAGAGTGAGAGTGAGAGACAGAGACTAAGAGAGAATGAGACTGAGAAAACTGAAGGAGAAGAGATGGAGAAGAAGACGAAAAAAAAAGGTGAAAAGTGAAAAGAATAAAGGGAGAAGAAGAAGATGAAAACGAAAGAGAAAAGTAAAGGAGAAGATGATGATGAAAAAGGAAGTTGAAAGAGAGAAGTGAGGAGAAAGATGAAAGAGAAAAGTGAGGAGAAGATTGAAAATGATGGAAAAGATAGATGAAAGAGAAAGTGGCGGTGGGCTTAATTATAATAATATGTATTATTTATTTTTGAGACCGGTTTTATATTTCGGTTTCGGTTAACCGGTTTAAAAATACGTGTAAACCGAAAACCGAACCGATTAATCGGTTTATGAATTTTTTAAACCGAAAACCGAACCAGATTTTAGAAAAACCGAATTTTCGGTTCGGTTTTCGGTCCGGTTTTTGGTTCGGTTCGGTTTTCGGTCTTTTTTTTCCACCCCTAGTATAATGGTTTGAATTTGGGTGGATTGAATGGGAATCGAACCGTGAAAATAACAAATAAAGACCTGCGTTTTTGTGTGATAGAAACCCCTAACTATACACATCACAATTATGATTGGATAAGTAACATATCGAAAACTTAGAAAAAAAACAACTTTTCAGTAATAAAAGATGCTAAGAAATTCTACATGTGACACCACCACAACCTGTGAACGAGATTAGAGTCATCGTTGATAGGGAACAATTGAGGGCGCACTGTTGAGATCACCAAACCTGCACAAGCTCCTCATGCCAATTCAAATAGCAACGGGTTCCATCATCACAAATTTTGAATGATGTTACATTAATGGTTGTTAATCGTAATGCCACGATTTCAACAACAATATAGTTTAGCGTAAAATCTAGTTCATTGCGTAGATTGGGACATTTCAACTTTAATGATTGTCATTTTGTGGTCAACAACCGTTAACAAGAGATAATTGGTACAAACAACCATTTTATACTTTTGAACCATTAGGTTATTTTACATATTTAACCTTGTTTTGTTGTGTTTATTAGGTTAGTAAGAGGTGCCCAATTGGTCCCGGGTTTGGGCCCAATGGGTCCGGTCCCAAATTGGGACTAGTCCCATTAAGACTGAGCTCAATCAGTCTCGAGACCGCTTCTAGGCCCATGAAAATTTTCAGGGCCCAGACCGGTCCCTAGGGTCGATCATGGACCCATAGGACCAGTCCCGGTCCTATGGGCCTGGAAAATTTTAATATGCCCCCTAATACATAAAATTTCAGTTTAACCATTATATTTATTATCTATTTTGTATTAAATAGGGGGATTTTGAATATACACTAGGGGCTTAAATGAAATTAAGCAGAAGGGTTTGGGATCGGGCCCGACCCTTGGAGGAGGGATCAAACCTGGGCTCGGGCCCTCCTCCATGGGCCTGGTTCAGTTTTGGGACCGAACCTTATAGGACCGATCCTTGTGAGGACTGGTCCTAGGCCTGGTTTTTTGGATGAGTTTTTTGGGTCTAGGCCCAAATTCCCACCTAATAGTTTATATGAAATTATTGTGTACATAGAATTCAAATATATAGTGTTACTAGACATGAGGCCCGCGCGTTGTGCGGGTATGTTTATTTAATATTTTTGAAATAGGTTGTAAACAAATTTATTCTAACATAATAAAGTAATTAGAT